TTTAATCGATTTCAGCTTCTTCAAACGAGTTCTTCAGATTGAAACATTTGCCTCCTTGTATTCCCGTCTTGTGTCTCTCCTTTCCTGAAAGAGCACCACAAAGGACGATACTGTTTAATCCCACCACAGTTAAGCCCAGAGGAAAGACCAGCTGGGGGCCTTTGTGTTTGTACGATAGCAGGTTGGATAAACCTGTGTTACTTATGACTGTGCGCACGCAAACCTGAGGACGTTAAAAAAAAAAAAAAGCTCAGTAACACTTATGTGAATTTCTCTCTAGAGGTGAAGTGAATGCATTTAATGTGGTGAGAGGCTGCAGAAGTGTCTTTGTGTGTGGGGGGGTTGGTGGATCGGGGGCTCTCACAGAGACACACAGATCCTCAAGTTCGAGTTGCGTTATCTTTTGTTTCCAGGGAAGGGGGAGGAAAGGGTGGCTCGCTGGGACTCTGTCTTCTGATTTTCCCAAAAAATAAAAAAAATCCCTCCCCTCTTCTCCCTGCCCCCCCTCAGAACCCCTGTCCCAGCCAGTGCAGTACCACTGTATTGTCTGCTCGCAGGCGAGCTGCTTGTTGCTTTGCCTTCTGTCCTGCTGTGCTGAGTGCTCAACAAAGGAGCTCTTTTAAATATGTAGACAATCCTGGATCACTTGCACGCACGCACGCACGTACACACACACACACTTTTGTCTCTCTCTGTCAATTCTTCCCCGGCTAGACCTGGCCTGGGAACGTTTCCTTTTTTCATGGAGAATCAACAAGTCTCAGACATAAAAAGGATGCAGGCGGGCCTTTTCTCTCCGCCTGTGCAGCACACGCTTTGAATGAGCACTTTGTGGCGTGGCCGAGGCCAAGAGCTGGAATCCTGTTTGTTATGGTGCTTTGTTCTTACTGTACATTTACCCGCCTTCTTTCATAATTATAATAACGATAATTTAAAAAAAAAAACAGCAAAAACACAAAGTTAGACATTTTGAAATGATGAAAACATCTGTCGAGCTAATTTTCTGTCCAGGCCCGAATTATTATTATTTCTTACAAATGCAACCATCAGGGCATCTCCACATGTCCACTCTCTTCTTTATCTCCTCCTCCTATGTGGTACGGGAGCCCTCCCTGCAGCTTGGCAGAGTCGGCTCCCTCACGCGATGCAGCAGAGTGCAGGGGCCCAGGCCCCAGACAGGAGCCCAAGCTGGTCTCAGCCTCCTAACATGTTGAGCTGGCCCGCCTTGGGCACAGCCAAATGGTTCTGCAGCTGCCCCTTTGTCCCGCTTCCTTAAGTAAACAAAGGACAGAAACAAATTAATGACCTACATTCACAGCAAACCTCGCGGAGACAGAGAGGGAGCAGTTGTCTACAAGCAGATGTTCACGTCCAACGCCGCAGACTTAATGATCAGCGAGCGGCACAAAATCGAACAGAGGATTGATGTCGCAAGGATTTCTGTGAGCAGGTAGCTCTTTTTTTAAAAGTTAGGATGCATCACTTTGACATCAAATCTCTTTAAAAAGAAGCTGAATTAGTTTTAAACTAATATTAAACTTTTTGACACTTGAACACCAGCCTGAGATCTTTTTTTGTTACTTCCAGTAAGTTTCTTAGATCTGTATTAGACATCCATCAGGCAGAGGACAATGTCATAAAGATTAGTAGTGAGCTTATCGTGTGTGTGTGTGTGTGTGTGTTGGGGACTTACTGAAGAGACCATCTGTGGCCTAATGAACGCTGCTCCTTGGCCTGTGTGCAGGGGCTTTTAGTGCATCTGTAAGAGCAGGTTTACTGAGCAGCAAGACATTAGCTAAAGCTGATTTCTTTACTGGAAACCTGTGCTTCAAGGCCTTTGGAAGAAAGCTGTGTGTGTGTGTGTGTGTGTATAGGAGGATAAAATCTCAACAAGCTGCTGCATTTTCTTCCCAAACGCAGCGGTATATATGAAAATTTGGGTTAGCACACAGAGCTTTTGCAGGCTGTTGTTGCACGTTCAAGCACGAATCACTGCAAAGCTTCCTGAGCATACACACACGCGCGCACACACACACGTAATTTCCACCCACATCACAAGTGACAGAAGGACAGGAGGCCAGGACCTCCTGCTGGGTCCCTTCTGCAGCACAACACTCCCGAGTACCGATGCAGACACGAACTTAAACGATGGGAAAATGTGAGCTTTTAGTGATTAATGTCTAAAAGAAATAAAACATTCCACACGTGAAAGCTGAATTTCAAGATTCTTATAATTTATTGCAGTTTGCACACAATTTAAAAATGTCAACAACAGCACACCAAAAAATTACAAAACTAAATACAATTAGAATTTACTCCCCTTGAGAAAACCAAAAAAAAAAACTATGATTGTCAAAGCTAAAATGACTAAATCTGAAAGAGGAACTTAAGAGATAAAATTAAATTGTAATCTCAACAGGGAGTAAATAGATCTCAATCAAAATCTGCCTATTTCCCCAAGACTGTGATTGTCCTTTTTCAAAAGAGACTCAGTCATTTTAAGCACCCCTCCCCCCAATCCTCCAACCCTTCCTCCAAATTCTGACTTTTATTTGTAATTTTCCTCAACTCTTCTTCACAATAAGTCTCCCCCCTTCAAGTAAGCACAGCAAAAAAAGATGGAGGTGTCATGTGAGGGCGATTCCTTCAGTGAACTCCACCTGACGCTCACACTTAAATAAAACAAACAAAAAAAAAAAAAAAAGAGCCCGGAGTACAGCAGTTTAAGGCGGTCAAGCACAACCAGAACAGAACATAAAAGAAATAAATAAACTAAAACAGCAGCAGCAATGAAAACAACAGCGGGATGAGGGGGGGTGTGGGGGGCCATATGCAGAGGCGCTGCCAGTGAAGAAATAACATTTCAGAACCAAAACGAGACGACGTGGTGCAAACTGCTGCAATGTCACCCACACTGTTGCGTTGGCAAAGCCTGCAGGTGCTACCAGATGACGGGGCATGCAAACACACACACATCTGAGAGAGGAGGAAATGTGGAGCGTCCGGATCTCTGCCAAATGTTCCTGGGATTGTATAAACGCTTGACCATCTTTTTCATTTTTTTAAACTGAACACAAAAATAACAACTGTCAAAACTGACGCAGCCTCAACCCGAACCCAACATTTACACAGAAACGTGAAAAAAGTTGACCAATCGTTGAATGAAAATATAACGAGACTAAATTTGTCTGGTAAAGTCAATTTACATTTTCCGCGAACCATTTCTTAACGCTTTACAGTATCAAATACTTCTTCGCATTAGAAATGTTTATTTTTTTTTAAATAAAGGCAACTTTTTTTATTTAAATTTTTTTTTTTTTTGCAAAATTCTGTTTTCTTGTCTTTTAGCTTAAAAAGGTGCAAACAGCTAAGCCAATTCTCTCCCATTTAGTTACAAAAGCCACACGGATGTCGTGTGACGTCTGTGAGAATCACTGCGCCGAGCAGCTCGGCTCGAGACGACAAACTTATCTGACCTTTCAACTTTCAGTAGGAGCGCTCAGGCTGAGGTTCTCGCTGCATCCTTCTCACCTCAGCCTGGCCACACTAACTGCACACGAATGGACCAAAAATAAGAGGCCAAATCTGCAGCGTCAAATAGAAATGGCTTGACCGGTTTAAAAAAAAAAAAAGAAAGGTAGGACCCATGGGAGAAGGAAGTAAGTGTTGGGGAACATTTAACGCCTAAGGAGGAGCAGGAGGACGAAGTGCTGGGTGGATGTAGATCTTCAGTAGGCTAAATTTACTGGTACTAACCAAGTCACACACTCAGAAACACACACACACACACTCAGAGCAGAGAAAATCAGTGCATAAAGACACAGGCTTACAATGCTTTATCGTTTTGCTTCCACATCCGACAGGAACGCATTCTGAAACGTTCCTCCGGGAGCTCAGCGAGAGTAAAAAAAACTTTAAAAAAACGAGCCTTCACTGTCAGGAGTTTTGCTGTTCAAACATTTCCCCCCTTCAATGCAAAAACAACTTAAAAGGTTGAAGATGAAATCGAATGTTCATGCATTTGTCTTCCCATAGTCATGAGAATAAATTCATCTTTTCAACAGACCGCACCCTGGAGTAGTATTCACAAAAAAAAAAAAAAGAAAGCCTGTCATCAAATATTTGATCAATTACAATGTGTACAGTAATACAGCAAATTCACATTTTCAGTTTAAAATATACAGGTTTGGACGTCATGCAACAACAGCAGGTCCCATTACAAAATAAAGTAACAAAATAATAATAATATTAATCATTAAGTTAAAAAATGTAATGAATAAAGTCTTAAAACTATAACTGAACAATATACAACAACCTTAAATTAAATACCTTTACAACAAGAAATGTTTTAAAGACTGCCAGCTAGATAAAAAAAAACAAAAAACTATCAACAATAATAATAATATTTTGTAAAGGTCTTATCTGTTAGAAAATACTTCAGATTGATTGGAAGTGGAAAAAAGGAGGCTGTGCATTGAATGAGTGCCTTCAGTTTGTCTGTCAGTCAGTCAGCTTTCCCCTGAACACACCAAAGAGCAAGAGAAGAGGGGAGCGCCTCGCCAACGACACCTTCATGCAAGTAGGAAATAATAAAAATTAAAAAAAAACACACACACTCACACACATCAGGTGAAATTTTTGAGAGTAGTGCAGAATCACACGTCTTCTAATGATGTGGCATCAGTTTGTGGTGATCACAGTACCCGTGTAGTGTTTCGCAACGCTTTTTTTTTTTTTTTACTGCTTCAGTGTGTTCGACCTGAACTCCTGCAGTGCTGCGTGCAGTCTGTGGACCTGGGGCTGACGTGCTGGCCGGCGGTGAGCTCTTGTTTCTGGGGTCAAACGCGAACGGGGTGAAAACTAATCTAAACGCCGAGACGTTCTCATCGAGGCCCGTGTCCTCAGACGCAAAATCAAAAATCGCAGAGGAGAACTAACGCCAAGTAAAAACGAAGAGTTCAAAATAACATACATTAAAATAAAAATACCCCAAATACCAACAACAAAATAACTCAGTAGTAACATTTTCATGTGCTATTAAAGTGCAGTTGAATGAGATGTTGCAACAAATAAGAACATAATTCACTTAAACCCCGACTAACTCTGCCACCTTCCTTCCACCTCCCCAAACCTCTGCGCCCTTTTTTTTTTTTACTCTCCGTCTCTTTCCCTTCATCACCAGTCTGTTTCTACTTCCACAGTTCCTGGGAGCTGTCCTCAATCGCCCAGTCCCTGACGTTGGGCAGTGCCAGCGGCTCGCTCTTCACGGACAGCGAGTTGACCAGTTCGCAGTGGAACTTGCGGATGTGTCGGTAGAGGTCCCCGGATTGCGTGAAGCGCCGCTCGCACCACTTGCAAGCGTGCGGCTTCTCGCGCGTGTGCACCACTGCGTGGCGACTGAGGTTGTGAGAGTACTGGAAGCTCTTGCCACAGGTGGTGCAGGTGTAGGGTTTTTCACCGGAGTGAGTTCGCTCGTGGCGCTTCAGAGTGTACATGCAGGAGAAGGTTTTGCTGCAGATGGTGCACGTGGGCACGTTGACGTCTCCGGCGGGCTTGGAGCGGATGCCCTCCTGCTCCCTGAAGTGGGAGCTGAGGTGAAGCTGGAGAATGTGAGGGGAGGGGAAAACCTTGTTGCACAGCGGGCACATGAAGATCTGGGTGTGCTGAGCTGACAGCATGTTGGAGACGTAAGGCAGCAGCGACGTGTCCATGCTGGCCGCCTCAGCCTGAGCACGCTCGTTTTCTCCTCCCAGTATGTCCTCGTCGTCTGCTGAGGCTGGAGGCTTCTCGTCCCGCTCCAGCTCCGAGGCCAGAGACGCCTCTCGCAGAGCGGACAGGTGCGCCTCCAGCCCGAGCCTTCGCTGGGCCGACAGAGGGCCCCCAACCCCGTGGTGGCTCAGACCTCCATTAGTGCTGGGAACCTGGGTTTTGTTGAGGCCGCTGTGCTCCATGTCATAGTCCCCACCTCCTAACTCATCTTCTTCATCTGAAGCTACACCCCTCTCCACCTTCACCCTCACAGCCAAGGGGCTCTGCAGGCTGTCCGGTGTCACCGCCCCACTGAAAAACGATTGATGGTGGTTGGTGTGGTTGCTACCGGCTATGGGCTTCACTGACAGATCCAGGACGCAGTCAGCAGCATCGTTCGACACCCTCCTGCCTCTGTGCCCTCCACGAGAATTCAGCGAGCGGTGGGACCTCTGGGAGAGAGATCCAGTGGAGCTGCTGGGGCTGCCGGCCGGGGAGAGCACCTTCCCCCCCTCGCCCAGGCCTTCACCTGCCTGAGCTTCAGGCTCACCATGCCCTGGGCTGGTCCGAGCCACACCTGGGGTCACTGGTCTGCCCGCAGACGGCAGCCTCAGCCACAGTGGACCTCCCTCAGCCTTCCCCTCCTCCTCTTCATCACTGTGAAGCAGGTCTGCAGAAATAGGCCGACCCGTCGAACCTTCCGATAGACTGTCGGCCTTGTCAGAGCAGCTGGACCCGCCATCGTCCTCTCTGCGAGTGCTGTCTGCTTCCGCTGTGGCCTTCTGCTTTAAACGCTTCTTGCACACCTTGACAATGTCATACATGTGCAGGTAGCTCGCCGCTGCTAGCACATCCTCTACAGGAAGGTCCTGGAACTGCAGCTTGCCCTCGTACATGAACTCCAGCAGAAGGGAGAAGGCCGGCGCAGTTACAATGTCACTGTTGAGGTGCACCACGTCTCTCTTGTCTAGCTGGTCCTTGTAGAAAAGGTGAAAGTACATGCTGCAGGAGGCCAGCACGGCCCGGTGGGCACGGAACTGGGCATCGCCCACCAGCACCGTGGAGTCACACAGGAAGCCCTGGTGCCGCTGCTCGCTCAGACACTGGAGTAAATGTCTGCTGTGGTCTGGGAACTCCATCCTGCCGTCCTCATAACCTGCAGCCACACAAAGACACAGAGTCAAACGTGAGTGCATCCCAGTATCCACGATCAGAGAGAGTAAATTCACCGTCGCTGGGATTTTAAACGAGGATGCTTGCAAAATAAATAAACTTAAAACAAAACAAACAGAATGCCATACTATATTACAAATATGTAGATTTTGTAACAATACAAAGTAGTCTTAAATTTAGGTTAAGTTAGAATTTTAGATTCTTATCAATAACTGGGGATATTTGATAACACTGTTGTGCATAAAATTAAAAATAATGGGTCAAATAAAAAAGAAATCTGAGATATAACAACAAGCATTTACAACAAATACAGATAAAGGTAGGGCAGTAAATAAGATGTATTTAAATATATAAAAATTCTTTCAAGACAAAAGTAGTAATTAATTTAAAGTTCTGTTATTTTTTTTAATTAATTAATGATTTTATTATTTTAAAGTACTTTTTTAAATACCATAACTGAAAAGTATATTGTTAAATCATACCTTGTACAGTCACAAAAATAAACTATTTCAGTGATATTTTTGTTTGTTTTGCTTGATAAAAAAAAAAAAAAAAAGAAGCTGAAATAAAACAGAGTGATTTAAAAAAGGCATTTATAAAAACTGACTCGGAGCAGGAACTCAGTTTTTAATCGACAAAGACTTAGTCTCAGGTGAACCACCAGTCAGATTCCTCCACTCGGTCTCTCAGCTTTCTACATCGCTCCAACTCCTCTGCCTGCACTCCTGGATTGTCGCTTCTCCTACGCTGGTTATTTTTATTAACCCACTTCGGCCTGGCCTGGCACAGCCCTTTTAGGTAACCGGCTTTCAGCTTTGCACACTGTCCTCACATATACAACACACACACACACACACTTAGTACCAGCCTACCTACAAACCACCTCCACAGACTAAGTCGAGAAGCAAGACTGGCCAAGAGAAAAAGCACACTCTCAAGCAAAACAGCTCGTCCTCTGTTTGACCTGCTTGAGGCTTGAAATTAGAGAGAATGAAAGACAAAACTTTAAAAGTGCCTTAATTTATATTAAAAAAAAAGTTGTTAGAATGGAATCAGTCTAGTTGACGAGCTGACAAACATGAATGCAGATGGACGTTGGATGATGAAGATGAAGAGGAGAATCACGTCAACAAACTGTCCCACCTGTTAACCAAGTAGATTTGTCCTGCCTGAGAAAATACATGTCTCCCGCTCGGCACCGCGTTAACCGCAGACGTTAAGTCGCCTCATTTGAATGAAGCTAAACCAAGGATGTGAGCGTGTGTGCACGTCTGCGTGTTGTGTGTGTGTGTGTGTGAGCTCGCCCTCCGGCTCGCTCAGACTGCTTTTAATGAGGGGACTTACGGGGACAAGGGTGTACCACCTCCCACCTCCCCCTCCAACCCCACCCCCTCGTCCAGCCAAACCCCTCTCTGCCACCTCCTCCTTCCACACACGCACCACTTACAAACTCCTTCCCATCTGAATCTTACTAAAAAAAAAAAACTCCGCACATCCACCCCGGAGAAGAAACTGCCCTCTTCCTCAATCCTCCCACCCACCCAGAAGGGAAGATTTACAATACAATCACTGTAAGTGCCCTGCTCGTCACAGCATCAATCCTAATCCTTAAAGATGGCTAAAAATAAAGACGCCGGTGGCTGCGGCGGGAAAGGCAGCCGGCAGCGGCCGCTCAGGAGAGCAGAACAGTCACCGAGCCCAACCGGTCCTCTTGTTGGAGCCGGTCAGCTCAGGCGGGGGTCTGAGGGAGACACTCACAAGAGGGGCAGGGAGAGAGAGGGTGAGGGAGAAGCTGGGACGGCCGGGGAGGGAGGCTTACCCACATCTGATCCAGCTGACGGGGGCCATATGGCAGCTGCTAGCCAGATAAAGAGATTAAGACTAGGAAGGAGTGCGATTACAGCTGTCTAGCCAATTCAGGCAGCTCAAATCTGCAACTTCTAAATTAGTCTCCTCTACTCCAGCCGACAGGAGGGGTGGGGGGGGGGGAAATGGGAAAAGCAGACTGTACACGCTTTTAAGTAATTTTAAAGTTGACCAGAATTAACTGAAAAGGAACAACAAATCAGATAGTTACTTTATGTGAGAAATAATTATAATTTCAATAATTAAAACTTCAAAAATTACGTTTAGTGTTCATAGCTAACCAATTACAAAATGACTAAAAGCTAAAACGGCCCCTAATAATTTGGCCTAAAATATACAGAATAAACTGAAGCTTGTTTAAAAAGACAAAAAATAAAAATAAAAAACGTGTCCAAATATGAGCACAAACAGGAAAACAGAAAGACACGTTTTAAATACGCTCTCAACTCCAAACGAAAAACACAACAAAGTGTTCCCGGACAGCAACTATCCCTCAAACTCAAACTACTTTTGGTGTTTCGACTCGAGCGCTCAAACAGGTTCGACACAGTGGAGAATAAACTACAGCTCGGTGCACACGACTACTATATTCACTCTCTTATGCACGCACAGACACACAAAATGATACCTGCAGCGGTACGCATCAACTTGATTAACTCCAGTGTGGCAGAATAGCCGGGCTCCTCTGACTGTGTGTATCCTCCTCACTATGAATCAATAAGAGGAGAGCAGAAGAAGAGGTGAGGTAGACAAAAAAAAAAAAGCTAGAGAGAGCGAGCGAGAGAGAGAGAGACTGGGAGAAAAAACAAACAAACCAAAAAAAAAAAAAAAAAAAAACCATCCACGCTGTTCAAACTGCGAGGGACAGATGCAAAGTGGAGGAGATGTTGGAGGGGGAACGAGATACCACCTCCCTCCTCCTCTTCCTCCACCTCCTCCTTCTAACTGGCGCTGATCGGCAGCCGCAAACACACACACACACACAGCACTAACTCTCCCAGGCTGCCGCTGAGACTCACAATAAAGGACCGGGGAGGGGTGGTGGAGGAGGAGGAGGTGGGGTGGATGGCAGCCTGTCAGCTGCTCTGACATCATCCTCAGATGGAGATGCTACCTCCAGCTGTGCTCTTTCTACAGCCATATGCTGCCTCCTCTACACTCCTGCCACCAGACTCCTCTTTCATTCTACCAACACTACACAACTTTGTCTCTCCTTCTCCCCCTTCTTCCTTTTTATCTTTGCTTCCTCTGTAAGAAAAAAAAAACACACACACTAAATGCAGTGTGATGTGTCTCCCCCACTGCAACTATCACAAGGGAAAGTTTACAACAACAAAAAAACAAATGAATAATAAAGATTCAGTCTTTTTTTGTTTACTTTAGGTGTTCTGAATTTTTCAAGTGCACCTCCTCCCTCCAGTAACCATAAACAAAGACCAGACGCTCGCAGCTGATATTGTTTTCCACTTTTTTACGGTTCAGCGCCGCTGCGCCTCGTCCTTTATTCATTCATTCCCTCATTCATTCATCCGTCTTCCCCCAAGTTTGAGCCCTTTTTGACAACAATATAATAATATTGAAATGCAGGAAACAATGGGAGCAAGCCATAAAGACGGACCTAAATGAGAAAACAACGAAAAAGCAGCTTAGCCTTTAATAATCTAAGAGAAAAAGTTGTTTTTCCGATTTCGACTTAGAAAAGGCGAACAAGAGTGTGAACCGACTACAATTAACGTATACGGTGGCCGAAGAGGCTCAGAAAAGTTTAAAAGGACAAACAGAGCGCCAGATGTGCATCATCGCCTAATTTAAAACACATAAACGTTATATTTATTGTCCTATTTGTCTTGTAAGAGCTTTGAAATGTTTTCCTCCCCTCATGGTGAACTTCATAGCCTCTTAAATTGCAGCGTTTAAATGAATTTCTGCATTCCGTTTTGTCCCCGATGCGACGAACAAGTCTGTTATGAATCAGACTACTTGTTTAAGTTGGTTTTAAAGCGGGTTTACGCGACAGTTATGCGTTTAATCTTCGAATAACGAACTTAAAAGTCGAGGAAACGCCGCGGCTGGCAGGTTGGAGGCAGAAGAAGACAGTCGCCAAACACGAGAAGACCGTAATTAATTACTTACCAGAAGACACAACAAACACGCGCGCGCGGAGACACGCTGCTAGCTATAGCCCGTTGACTGCTAACAAAAGTAAAGAGGACGGGACACAATATTGCGCTTTTTCCAGAAGTTCCGAAGGCCCAGGTGCTATGACAACAGCTGGAGAAACACCGCGGAGGGACAGCTAACACAGCAACTGTTAAAGCGCCGAGACACAGTCATGCTAAGACACAGCACTGAAGCTAGCCTCCGATTTCATGTCCGCGTAAAGGGCTATTTCACAACTTTTTCTTCTTCTTCTTAGACTTCTATCTCGGTTCAGCTCAAAACCTAAAACAACTTTTAAAATCTCTTCACTTAAAATAGATTATTTGAAGGACGATGTGTGAACTGCGAAAGGTGTATTCGACTTGTTAAAGTTCAAATAAGGGCAATTTCAATATTCTTTTTCAAACCTGCAGGTGTCATAGAAGGTCGTGTGATCCTGGAGTAAAAGTTTATAGGTAACAAACGGTGTTTAAAATGTTCTATTTTGGTGCATCAGTTTAGGATTAACAAGTTTAAGTATGTTCATATAAATTCTGAAAACATAGCTAAGATGCACAAAAAGAGTGAAATTGTCCTTTAACAGACAGCCGACTAGGAAGTATCTAATCGTAAGCGAACTTCAGCGGCGTTGCTAAGGAGCTACTTTTCCACCTCAGTCTCCCGAACCTCCTTTGATCGGACTCCGGTTTAAAAGGCAGCACTTACAGACAACAAGGTCCGGCGTCTTCCTCCGTCTAATCCTCTCCTTTTTACCCCACTTCGTAGATCAAACTACTTTATTACTAATTTCCATAACAGGCTTGCCAAGGCGAGCGGGCGCAGGAGACGAGGAGTGTTGTAGCACTCTCTGCGGCGACCAGATGTTTCCGAGCTGTTGCTGCTCAACTCGAAGCCGGGGAGAGAGGAGGCAGGCAGGCAGGCGAGCGGTGCCACCGGCGAGGAGCAAAGTGAAAGCCCCCCCTGCTCCAACAGAGGGAGAGATACGTCTTCTTCTTTCGTCGGCGTAGGTTGACACCAGGCAACAGCAGCAGCACACCGTGAGGAGGCAGGAAAGGCGCTGGGCCGAGCCAACTGGTTGTGCGAGTCAACGGGGCGGACTGGCGCAGCCGAGAGCGAGCGGAGAGCGGCGCGGTGCGCTCTGGGTAGTGTAGTCAAAGGGAAAGGGGGCGGAGCTGATGTGAGCAGGTGCATCACCTTGACAGAAATAAACAGTTGGTTTCCAGTGGAGCCAGATAATTCCTGGATTGTTGAAATATCAGCAGAACACAAGCAAGTCTTAATCAGAGGCAGAACAGCTGCGCCTCCTCCAGAAGTGTCTATTTGTTGCTCTTAATGACTATAAAGATGTAATAAATGCTTTTTTTATCACACTACAGTGTATTCTCTGAGTGTTATTTTAAATACATATGTAAAAATATATATATATATAATCACAGACAGGTGATGTGAGCTTCATACTTGTAAGGCATTTAAAAAAATTATTTTACATGTTAAGTGTTTAAAATGTTAAAACGAGGGTTATAATAAGATGTAATAGTTGTTATTTTAATCCTTAGTCCTCCAGACCACCGATGCCATGACAACACATGGGCTTTAATTTGTTTTCAGTACTCTTTTGTGTGTTCACTTATTTATACTGTTCAGTGTGTATTTATGTGCAATTTATGAATCTATTGTGAAATTTTAAACTTTGTCTTACCTTGTGCTGTGAGTGATGATAACGCATTAACATTATTGTTTTCCTAATTGTAGTTTCTTTTGTTCCTACTCCTTTACTACTTTAGTTTATTTGTGCTATCCTAATAATTTGTATACCAAAATAAGTAGTAATGGAGTGATGTCACTCCATTTGTAACTTTTATAGTTTTTGGATTATTTAACTTTATTCACAAACGTTTAGCCTATAAAGATACATGGATATCTCTTCAATTCATTAAAAAACATTCTCTGAAATTTGCTTCAACATATCTTAATTTAGACTTTTCATGCTTCATCTTCCTTTTAGCTACTCTTTACTGATTTGAGCTTTTACTTTGCTCATTATAGCTTTTAGAACAGTTTTGCTAATTTGATGTTTTTGATATGATTTAGCTACATTTAGCTACATTCTTTCTTTTTTTGGGGGGGGGGGGGGGGTTCGTAGCTTTAAGTTACAGTTCTGCTATACTTTTATCTTTTATAAACAGTTTTTTGTTTCTCAGTTTTAGTTGCTCGGCTTTCCAATAAAACATGAAAATTATACATGTACATACAAAACAAATGACTTGATCAGGATTTTGTGTTACAACTTTTGGTAGCGGTGTTGTACAACAAAGACAAAATCTGCAATGAACTCCACAAAACAAAAAAAAAACAATAAAATAAAATAAAATAAATGATGGAGATCAACGAGACTTAGGAAAAACAGATGAGAACACCTATGCAGCCTTTATTTGGAGCTCTCATAAACTTTCCAAAACATCATTAAAAGTTTAAAAGGGTCACAGCATTTTACATGTCTGAACTGGCACTTGGACCTATTTGACAGTTTTATTATATATATTTTATTACAAACCGGATCCCAAAAAAGTTGGGACACTAAACAAATTGTGAATAAAAACTGAATGCAATGATGTGGAGGTGCCAACATCTAATATTTTATCCAGAATAGAACACAAATCACAGATCAAAAGTTTAAACTGAGAGAATGTATCATTTTAAGGGAAAAATCTGTTGTTTCCAAATTTCATGGCGTCAACAAATCCAAAAAAAGTTGGGACAAGTCCATTTTTACCACTGTGTGGCATCCCCCCTTCTTCTTACAACACTCAACAGACATCTGGGGACAGAGGAGACCAGTTTCTCAAGTTTAGAAATAGGAATGCTCTCCCATTCATGTCTAATACAGGCCTCTAACTGTTCAATCGTCTTGGGCCTTCTTTGTCGCACCTTCCTCTTTATGATGCGCCAAATGTTCTCTATAGGTGAAAGATCTGGACTGCAGGCTGGCCATTTCAGTACCCGGATCCTTCTCCTACGTAGCCATGATGTTGTGATTGCTGCAGAATGTGGTCTGGCATTATCGTGTTGAAAAATACAGGGTCTTCCCTGAAAGAGATGACGTCTAGAGCATATGTTGTTCTAGAACCTGAACATAGTTCTCTGCATTAATGGTGCCTTTCCAGACATGCAAGCTGCCCATGCCACAAGCGCTCATGCAACCCCATACCATCAGTGATGCAGGCTTCTGAACAGAGCATTGATAACAACTTGGGCTATCCTTGTCCTCTCTGGTCCGGATGACATGGCGTTCCAGTGTTCCATAAAGAACTTCAAATCGTGACTCATCTGACCACAGAACAGTCTTCCATTTTGCCACACTCCATTTTAAATGACCCCTGGCCCAGTGCAAACGTCTGAGTTTGTGGAGCTTGCTTAGAAATGGCTTCCTCTTTGCACTGTAGAGTTACATCTGGCAACGGCGGAGGCACGGTGGATTGTGTTCACTGACGATGCTTTCTGGAAGTATTCCTGAGCCCATTCTGTTATTTCCTTGACAGTGGCATTCCTGTTTGAGGTGCAGTGATGTTTAAGGGCCCGGAGATCACGAGCATCCAGTAGAGTTTTACGGCTTTGACCCTTACGCACAGCGATT